TGCCCTGTATTCCCCAACTCCTCCACATGCTTCAATTCTACCGAAGGAGACCCAACGAGTTTACTTCTTTGCGTTTCAAGGCTTCACTTTAGGCTCATCGGCTTTGGATGTCGGGGTCCAGGGATGAAGGGCGCCAAGGCTCGGAAGACAAAGTGTAGCCTAAAGTGCTCCTGGCCTTCGACTCTAGGGAAGCTGTAAGGACGTGTCTTCAGGGTAGGAGCATGTACTCGGAGGGTGGAGGGACTTATGGGGGTGGGAGGTAGGGCCATAACTGTAGGGCAAGGACTGTTGGCGTAGGGTTCTAAGTAGGACAGGGGTTCCAGCTCGACTGGCTCTATGGATACATCTCGACAGCTAGTTAGTTGACAGATAGAAAGATGGATAGGTCGGGGACTTCGGGTGCAGAGCTTTCGGGTTGAGACGCCGTATAGATGTGTCAGAAACTGCTTGCACTTCAATGTTTCGATACTTGGAGGCCTGATCGCGAGTAAACCGGTTAGAGCTTTTTTCTTTCGGTTTGCTGGGCTGAAAGGAAACTTTGTCGCAGCTTGTGGGACAAGAAGCAAAGTGCGGCAACTCGCCAAACTCATTGCCCATGATGTAGGTGCGGTAATACCTTCCCACCGGTCGCGTAGCTTCAGTGTTTTGGAAGATACTTCATGCTACCCAACGTTAAACAAGGGCTTTGTAGAATACGTGGGGAAAAGGATAACGGAAGTGTACAGGGCCTGCTAGGACTTGTCAGACCTCTTTATTCCAAACTCTGGGTTATTCTTGCCTGCTGCTCAGATGATCTCGGCACAAACCCTCAAGTCCAAATAATATAGGGGCCTTAATGATCAGAATAGGTTGTTGGGGTATATTGTACGACAATTAGAATAAGGAGCCCCCCAAAAAGTACTGCTACTTATTTAAGCCCCTCTATTACACTTACACGTGTTGTGTTACCACTCTGCTAGTTGGCATATATCTTAGAAACACAAAAACCAAAACTCAATAACCAAAGTTGTTTCGGCTACGCATTGAAACACAAGAACGACATGTCCACAATCAACTTAATTTCGGCGAGCGTTCGTCGTTGTACTTGTAAACGACTGACATTGGAATGACTTGCACAGTTTACAAAATGATGTTTTGATTTCAGCTTTTCTTCATCTTAAATTTTACTCGTGAAGTGACCGCCCAAACAAACCCTGGGCCCTAAGAAATTGTAACAAACCGTGTGCAAAAACATGCTAAACAGCAACAAGGCATAAGGCGAGAAGTACTAGTCCGAGCCCAAACTCCTGCTCAAGGCTTCCCAACAACAAGTACAATAGACACAAGACGTTATACTACTGTATACTATTTCTCCCCTACTGTATTGAAACTATACGAAGCTGAACTACACTGTGCTCTCACCTAACCCACCTATGCCTATACCTCTAGTTGTACTTTCACCTATATACCATCATATAATGTACTCTACTACTATCTGCGAAGCCAAAAGTTTGGGGTTTAGAGTTTAGGCACCTCCCATGAGCTGAACCGAAAACATGATATTCACTCTACTACCGCAGTCCCCGGGAAATCGAAGTTCAGGGTTCAACGAGGTTTCGATGATCAGGGTTTGGGGTTTTGGGTTTTAGGGTTTAGGGTTTTAGGATTTAGGGTTGGGACAGGGAATATGAAAGCTTTGCTCAGTCGCCTCGCAGGGACGACGTAGAGAACGCACCCGAAGCTCCAAATCAAGGGACTCGCTCAAGTATCGCTTTCATTCAGAATCAGATTTGGCAAGTTCAGGGTTTGGGGTTCTCGATGAAGACTTTGGGGTTTCACATGTGGGGCTTCAGAGCTAAGTAATATAGAGGCCTCAATAACTAGAACAGGGTTTTGGGGTATATTATACCATCAGTATAGCAACAGTACTGGTAATTATTCAGGCCCCTATAGTAGGATTGCCACTCGGTCACTTCGCGAGATCTTCCTCATTGCCACGCTGGCAGAGTGCGCGGTGAGCCAAGTGAGCCTTGCGCTTCAGATATGTTTAAGACAGTCTTGGAGGTTCTTAACTATAGTAGTACCATAACGGTACCAAGGGAGCCTACAGAATGGTAGTAGTAATTCTTGACCCTAAATCCTAGAAGTGCTTAGAGTTGTCGAGTTAAGAAGGATCTAGGGTCCGGGCTTTAGGGGTCTTAGGGCGGCTTTGAGTATCAGGTATTGTCTTGCAAGAATGACAAAGCGGATCAGGAGTTAGGGCTTTTAGGGTTAGAGCTTTTCGGGTTTAGGGTCTGGGGTTTCAGGGTTCATTAGGGTTTAGAGCTTTTAGGGCTCAGGGTGTAGAGCTTTTAGGGTTTAGGGCAGCTTAGGGCGTTTATTGGGCAACTTCGAAGGACCGCACCAAAGCATCGGAATCGGAATGCCGCTTCAACTTCCCAATTTCACGAGAACGACGATATCAACAACTGAAAGTGTCAGCTGACAAAGTTGGTACCAGACTGGTGCCACACTTCCGCGCTTTCGGGGTGTTTTGGGATGGAATTCCTTCCCCGACAACAATCCAATGCTTAGCTGGGTCTTCAAACCGCTTGAAGTTGCTCACACTGTTCGGCCCTTCTCCAACTCCAAACGACGGGGACTTGGATCGAGCTAGGTCCAGTGCTGTTTTGGGGTGCGACTCACCTGTGCCCCCTCAACAATCGTGGTCCCACCACGAGTCATGCTCCCGCCGCAGTGTTGTGCATGTTCTCGGGTGCAATGAACAGAAGGGGTGATGGGCAATTCGGACTCACGAGGTGGCATTGGAAGGTTCATGCGTGCACGGGAATGGCTCTTGGGGTATGTGGCGGTTGGACTGCTAGGTGCTCTTTCAGTGTCCATGGAGTCTACGATGACACGTTGGGGAGACAGACGGGGCTGGAGTTGCTCTCGAAGGCGCTACAAATCTCACCATAAGGGTGGTTGCCAGTCAAAATTATGCCCCATTGTTGGATACCCTAAGTATTAGGTGCCGTTTTAAACTAAGGCCACCACAAGGGACCATGATTTTGACAACCACCGATAAACAACCCCGAGCTCGAAATCAAAGGCTGAAGAGTTTGCGAAATCCCGAGCTCTTGGGGCAACCAGCGGGCGCGCATGGACTTGATGCCCTTGCGCTCAATAGAGAAGCCACCATCCTGCCAGACTCCGAAGTTTCCCAACTCTAAGCCCTGATACGGGGTACTCAAATAATTTGAACAGGCACAATCGAGGACACTCGGGCTTGGAAGGTCCAGGCTCGTGATCCAGTGCGTCAGCCGAGACTATGGCACAACAGCCCACTGATATTGAGTGAGTGTAGATGCCATGCAGTATTGAGAGGTGTACAGCTACGCCGATGCTAGGGGAATTCCTATCTCTGGCTGCAAGATCCTGCGCCACGGCCCATCCTCTTTAACTTCGTTCATCAGACATCTTATGTCGTCAGCCTGCGTTGCCGTGTTCGGACAACCTCCAATCGCCAGAGTGACTTTCGGATCGAGGCAGGCCATTGATCTTGCAACATGGAGACATAGACCTGAAACCCTGAGGTAAACATCCAACGCCACACACACACACACATGCATTGCTTAAAGCCCCTAGTCCATCCTGAACATCCCCAAAATCCTAAACTCACTCAATTACAGCCCAAGCCCTCGGCCCCAGCGATTTAGCTTCTTCAGCCTCCGTTCCATGTCCGCTTGCAAGGATCTCGTACTTCCTCCGCCACGAATTGTAGCCTTACGCTGGTTGCAAAGGACGACATACTACTATTACCACTGCTGCCTCTGCTACTACTGCTGCTAATCCTGTTGCTCCCACTCCTCCTACTCCTTCCAGCCCCAATAGCACTACCACGACAACGACGACGACCACCGCCACCATCACCACCACAGCCACCGCCACCGCCACCGCCACCGCCACCGCCACCACCACCACCACGACCACCACCACCATTCCCAGTCCTCTTCGTTCCGCTTCAAGGGTGGCGTGAGGAAACATCTTTCTTTCATGCAGACTCTCATAGACGGTTGGGCGATCCCTGGCTGGTGGCCCCCCCCTGGGGCCGCCAGCTTAAATAGGTATTTGAAGGTAGGCCCGGTCCAGAGGCCTCCATCCAATGCAGGGAAGTAGCCACACTCAAATGCCCTCAAATGCCCTCGAATGCCCTCGAAAGCCCTGCAAAAGGCCCATTTGAAGCTCAACGCTCCTCCCAGCCTCGAGCCCACTCTCTCAGGGCTGGTATTTTGAATCCATATGAGCTGTTTCTTGGCTTCGGAAGGCCTTTTTGGAGCCGAGCGGGTTTGAAGGCATTTGGGCCTGTTAGTTTTCAATAGGTCCTCTAAAGCTCTTTAAAGTTCTTTTCTTGCTTCAGCTGCCTGCACAGCTTCCGGCGAGTCTGTGGCACCTGAGGGGGACCACCTGCAGAGGTGCAACAAGCCCTCTATGAGACTCTTTGGGTTCAGGGATGGGGTCAGCCACGTGGCCGCAGTTCGCGTAGTGCAGGATCACCGGAGCACCATAACCCGCGCAGCGTTGGCTGCGCAGCCTACCACGCTTCAAGGCTGCTGTGTGAGAGCTGCAGCTCAAACCGCAAGCAAACCCGTGCAAACTGCAAACCCTGTATGATTTAGATGAACTCCGAAGCCAGGGGCTCAGGGCAACAAGCTCGACGAAGCGTCAATCTCGAGAAAACCTGATTCAGAAGTCGAAGTTGGACCCTGGGCTCGGAGCCTCGGAGTTTCGAACTTTTTTCCGGCAACAGCTTGACGTGGCGCACGGCTGTAACTCTGCAAAACACCGAATCCTCAAACCCTAAATTAGCCTGGACACGACGAAGCCGCTTATTCTGAACCCGGGGGCTTTGGCCCGACAGGACATGAGGACAAGTCAACCAGACAGATCAACTGCGGAGATGCTTCGCAAATTATCTACGAAGGATGGGAGCGGCGGGAGGAACTTCGGGAAACAAGACCCTTGAGCGACAAACTCACTGCCTCTCGTTGCTATCTGATCCGAATCGATGCACGCCCACCGGCAGGGGCGGTGGAGATCTCAAGCGGCATGCAGCCTCAGAACGCGTGCCCCGAACACCCCACGGCTTTCGGAAGCTCCATGCTGAGGCCGCTCTTTCTTCGAAACTGGCCTATATATATCAGGATTACATCGAGCTTTCTTGAGCTGCGTGGCAGCAGCTCCACCGTGCCGGGACTCCACCAAAAGACTTCAGATCTAAGCTGCTGCTGAAGCAAGGCCCGCCTTCCCGTTTCCATAGGCCACGAAGTAGCAGGGCAAGTCCTCGAACCTTTCGCGTCGGGCTACTGGGAGGATTTGCGGCTTCTGACACTTGTGCTCGGCGCAGAGGGACGGCGCAGTATAGCTTGCTCTTCAGTCCTGTCTGTGCTCGAATTTGGGGTGGGCCACTGCGAGTTGACAGCTGTAGCCCTGCAAACAACATGTTGCTAGCTGAAGGATATGCCGTCTAACTTGTGTTGCAGGGTCTCCCCGAACTCCTAAATTCTAAACTTCTTCACATCAAGCCCTAAACCTCCTAAACCCTACGTGACGTAATCCTGAACCTCACATCCGAAACGCTCAAATCCTAAAGTAGATCAGCCCCTCTGGCTATTCTGCCGAGAAGCTCGGCCTTCTTGGCTCCCCGACTCGGCTCCTCTCAAGGGTCTTGAATAAGACAAGCAACTGATGACAATACTTACAGCAACAGCGATAATAATAACAAAATGCAAACGATAAACACACCAATAACAACAAACGAAAAACAATGATAGTTACAAAAAATGTGAGTAGTAAAAATCATAATGCTATATCTCATACCCGGTCTCATACTCATACTCGTACGCATATTCATACTACTGCTAGTACGAGTACTCGCACCCATACTAATATTGATACAACTGCTCATGCGAACGCTACTACAAATTTTAATACGAATACTAATACTACTACTAATTAAACTGATACACATACCAATACTGACACCCGGACTAGATCCAGGCCCTCGACCGCTTGTATTTTACACTTCCGCATTTTTTCGGATCTTCCCAAAAGTCATCCCGAAATTGCTCCTAAACCCCATAATCACCCGATTCCCTTGTATTCCCTAATCTCCGAACACATCTCCTCGTCGGAGTCGAAAGGCTCTTCATCTCCCTCCTCCACAGGGGGCAGCACGATGCGGAGCTCTTGAACGGCCCTTCGCCTGGCGATCCTCAATGTGCAACATCAAGCATTTAGGTCCACGGTGTAGCGTTTCAGGCTTCGGGCGTAGGGTTTTGGGTTGAGGATCGCGTTGCTGACGATCTTGCAGGTGTAACCTCCGTTTGCCACAAAGAGCCTGAGAGAGTTTTAGCTCTGGTTCCTAGCTGTTTCTTATGCGGATCCTTGTTTGTCATTTGTGAAGCAGCCGACTTGGGTAAGGCTTGCGCGTCTATGAAACGAAAGAACACGGCATCCTCCCTCTCTGATGCAAATTCTGCGGCCATCTCACCACTGTTCACCTGGCTATGGCAAATGCTATCACTGCTGCCTCCCGCTGCTGCGACGACCAGTGCGGGGTGTGGCGAGGACGTCCCAAGTTCCACATTCCATATGCACCCAGTCCGAAATCCTCAACCCTTTTTGCAACAGGCCTCGTTGTCCAGCAGCCCGGTCTAGCCAAGCACACACTCCCCTAAGCCACCACTGAAAACCTGAGCCTTTTTGCAACTGGCCTGCAACGACTACGCCAGGTTTAAGCAGGGAAATCCTGAGCCCTAAACCCAACATCCTATAAGCCTTATACATGTATACATATATATATATATAAACATATATATATATATATATATAAGCCCTGAAGCCTTTTTCTCGGTACTGCGACCCCTGACAAACTGGTAATGCCAGCTTTGCGGCCGCACCGGCAGCAGCGCGCTGTCGAAGCTTCGGTTCGTTCCTTACACCGAGACGTTTGAGCTTAGAGTTTTGGAAACCCGGGGTTTCAGGGTTGAGGGTTGCGGAATAGCAAGGACGCTTGTCATATGATCCCTAGATTTTGGGCTCCTGAAGACCAGTGTCTAGATACCGCTCGCCTGAAACTCTTTCGGCTAGGTTCGTCCCTGGCGGCATGCTGCATCACTTCACCTATCGTGATTTTGGACTCCGTGCCAAGTTTCGAATGTCCTCCGGGTCCGTTCCTTTGGCGATCTGGCGCTGCCTCCACCTCCTGTGCAAGCAAGGCCAACATATGCCTAGGGCTCAGCACTTTGCTGTGAGGGGTTGCATCTATGCCGCCCTGGCCACACTAGGGTCGTTTGTTTGGAACGATTTTGAAATGGGACTTGGTGCTCCGGGTGCCAGGCTGCTAGTGGACCTAGAGGTCTGACGCCCGGAGGTCCAAGATATGCCGTGAAAGCCGGACCCTCAGAGCCCTCAACCCGTGAACCTGCACGTTGGTGCTTAGATCCAGGTGAGAAGCAAACACAGTTGCTGTGTCAGCTCGCTGGCCAAAATGTCTGCGGATTGGAGAAGCACTTCACTTATCTTGATGTGCTCGCATGTTGCTGGGTAAAGGCCAGATCGCTCGGGAAGTTTGTGGCTAAATCCGATTTTTGCGCCCAGACTCTCCCGATCATTTGGGAAGCAGTATAAACCCTAAACCCCTATTTCCCACACCCAAACCCTGAACCATGCAAGCCCAGTAGCTCCAGCTTCTCGAGATACTTCTTGCTGCTCGAGGCATCCGTGGTGTCCCGAAGAAGATTTTGGTGCACTTTGAAAAGGCTCACATCCTTGAACCAGTCGTCCTTGCAGTTTGACAGGATGGGCTCGCAGCTTGCGGGGTGGATTTCACTGTGCACAATCTCCGAAGGTCCGGGCAGCTATGTAAACATCCGTGGACCCAAACCACAAACCATATTTTGCAATGCCTCAGAGCCGAGTGACGATGTCGAAAGACTCGGGAACTGCCTCCAAGTTGTTGAACACCACCTTGATGGCAAAAACATCGTGGCAGAAATGGTAGGAGCATGCATGAACCCTTCTAATGGCAGCAGGAATAGTCATCACGGCAGTGAGCGGAATGAGAGGCTTAAGAGAAAAATAACACGCCACTTTCAGAGACCGTGCATCAGAGGTGCCTGGTCCACGTCAGCCGGCAACCTGCAATCGAGACACAGGATCCCAAGGCATTGCGCGCACTCCCCTCCCCCTCCCTCCCTGCTCCCCGCATTCCCCCCTCATGCCCAAATGCAACCCTGCAATTCAACAAAAACCGGAAGAATCGACACCCAGTGCCGCGTGCAGGCTAGTGGCTCGGCAAAGAAGCCTCTTGCATCTACCTGTGCAGCTCATAGAGGCTTGTGGTGAAAAGTACCTAGAGACCTAGCATACCCATCTCAGAGCGGATACCTGATGCCAGTGGAGCTCGTTCCACAGCAGGCAACAGGATAATGATCACCGCATCAGCATCATCCACCACTATTTGCCGGCAGCAGCGGCGGTGGCGGCTGCAACAGCAGAAACAACATCAGCATCAGTGTTTGCATGATGATCACCAGAACAGCATCGGGCTTGCCGGCAGCAGCCAGGACACATGCTTTGGCAAATGCAGCGCTTCGTCCGAGTCAATGTGGAGCAACCAATCCTGGGCTTTCTGCAAAGGATTTGCAACCCTATGCCCCACGGAAAAGCTCGTCAAGGCCCACAGGCGACAGTGACATCTCAAGAGATCCCAGCGTCGTAGCCCCGTCTCTGCGCATCACGGGCGGCCGCATCGACCGCCAAGCACTGTCGACTTTGGACATCATGGACGGACTCGAAGAGCCTTGACCACGAGAGGGAGAGATGCAAACTACGTAATTTCACTACGCTATACTATGCTGTGCTATACATATGCTATAGTATGACAAGACTAGCCATGCTAACGCAATGCTAATGCTATACTTTACTATACTGCGCCTTACTACACTCCGCGGTACTGTGCTGTGCTGCAATGTGCTGTACTATACTGTACGTTACTGTACCGACTGAGATATTCTATCATAATAAGATCCAGCAATCTTTGTGGTCTCACAGTCCGACATGCGCACAGGCTCGAAGTATCTATGCACTAGCAAACCAGTGGATCCATCCGACCTTTCCGCGAATGAACCTTAGTATAGTGCATAGCAGTGTAAAGTGTAATATAGTGCAGTACAGTGTAGTGTCGTATAGCATAGCATAGTGTAGTACACTAGAGTATAACACATGGTCGTACCTATAAGGCAATACAGCAAAGTATTCTCGCTCCATCCCCACGCTGTTCACACCATAATGCCTGAGAATTGTTGCAGCATGTTTCAGACTAACCTCCTCGGCCTCGAAATCTCACACCTGCACAAGTCGGGTTTCGGGTTTAGGGCTGCATCTTGGGCACTGCATCGTCTCTTCGCAAAAAGCCTTGGAAGGCTCCAGGTGGAGCAGGCATTATCAGCGTGCTGTGGGGCTAGCTTCCAGCATCCCCAAAATTCAACGTTCGGTCGAGAGCTTCTTGTTGATTTTCCTTCCAGCAGAAGCCACCTCCGCTTATTTTGAAGCCTCCAACGTACCAGTGGCCATTCACAAGCCACTTCTTCTGCCTATTCTCCCTGCTTGGACAACATGACGAGCACTCAAGGGGCAGCATCGCGACGAAGTAGTTTCCGAATAGCACTTAGAGCTTAGGGGTTCATAGGGGTTCTAGGGTTTGGGGTTTAAGGGGTTCCCAATGTTTCCCAGCTGCAGGGAATTAGAATGAACCCAGATTGAAGGTTTCTGCGGGCTGCAGCACCGAGTGCTTGAAGATTCAAGGCCTTGGATGGGCTATGGGTTTCGACTCTCACTCTCGCACACAGCAGGCAAGGATCCAATCAGGGTTTAGGGTTTAGGCTTTAGGGTTGAAGGGTATAGCAAGGCTATGAATGGCCAAGCGGTTCAACAATTCGACACCCAGAAGCAGGCCCTAGCTTTCAACCTCCGATCCTGCCACCTGCCCGGAAGAACAACCTAAGCCCAACTATCGCAGGTCTGACCCTACGGTACCAAACACTGCCCATTAAACCGAAGTCCTATCTGAATGGGGTGTTCTTGATGTTTGTGGTACTTTATGTAAAGATACTCATGGGTCCGACTATCTCATGCCAACAACAAGCCTGACTCCCTAAAGCCAGAAACCCTCAAAGCGAATCTGTTGCGGAGGCCAAGCCGCACTCTCGCGCCGGCGCAGAGCGAAGCGAGAACTGCTAAGCTCGGATCGCCACCAATCCTGTCCGACAGTTAAACCCTAAACCCTAAACCCTAAACCCCGAACCCCAAAGCCTAAATACGTCTTCTCTGGCAGCTGGTATTGAGAGCCGCGCAACTCGCACGAGGCAGGCAAGGCCGCTGAGGGCCTAGGGCCTTCTAAGGTTTTGGAGCTTCGGGTCTAAGGTTTCAGTGTAGGCTTTGCAGGGTCCTATAGGGCTGTAGGATTTTGGGGTAAGTTTGTTACGTGGTTGGGGCCCTAAACTAGTGGCTGAACACCTTCGATTGGTGGATGGAGGTCTCGATGCGCATTGTCGAGGCTTATCCCGGATTGAACAGCATATTCAAGTGGACGGCTATGAAGGCGTACTTCCAGATACTTCCAGGCCATGCTTTTGTTGCAGAACTGCCCTAGAGTTGAGGGCTTGGGATCAGACCTACACGCAGAATAGGACATTGCCGGTGTTCGTTTTCATGTCTCCCGCAATCTAAATCTATATTCTGTATCTCTCTCTCTATATATATATGTATAAACATATCTCTATGTCTATACATATATATATATATATATATATTCACTTGTATGTGTATATATATATATATATTCACTTGTATGTGTATATATATATATATATTTTTCTTAAAGGTAAAGGATCAATTTCCGAGAAGGCGGAAATGCTAGCCGCAGGCTCCACATTCAGCAGAAGGAGTTCCTAGCTCCATCGCGTCCTCCGTGCACAGGTGGACGACAATGCCACCTCCAAAATGACAGCTACTATCTTTGCCATTGTAACGGTAATTATTACATATTACTAGTCTTATACTCTTGCTACTCATTAGGATTACCACGACTATTGTTACTATGGTGAGCAGTCTTTGTAAAGGCGTTATCATAAAACAAAAAATTGAAGTCGGCCTGACATACACACATGCATACATACATGCATACATACATACATACATACAGACATACAAACAGACACACAGACAGGCAGGCAGGC